GGGAAAAGAGATTAAACTCAGGAGAAGCACCAAAAGTACACACAGTCATAAACAGAAGACCCCACAGTGGTCCCTTCCCCATAGCTTTTCAGTTTAAACAGGTATGACACAATGAGAAAAAGAATACTTGTCTAAGACACAGGGAGAGATGCATGACCACAAAGAAAAAAAAAAAAGAAAAGAATATATGATTTGTGTTAGAGACCCTGGGTAAAGGGCTTCATCGTAGGATGTCTTTTTTGGTGGGGGAAGTAATAAGAATGTAATTACAGGGAACACAAATCTTACATGCTAGCTACAGAACAGGCAAACTCTGAAGTACTTGGTGTGCATTAACTAATTTAGTCCTCAAGTACAATATCACATTGGAACCACTCTGACTACATTTTCTAGATGTGAAACAGACACAAGGAAAAATGGACTTGACTAGAAACATATAGAACAATGACTTGGAGGGGGCTGGGGATTTAGCTCAGCGGCAAAGCGCCTGCCTGGCAAGTGCAAGGTCGTGAGTTCGGTTCCCGGTACCGGAGAAAAACCAAAAAAAAAAAAAAAAAAAAAAACAATGACTTGGAAATAAGTCACAAGGAGAAGGAAAACTCTGTGACAGATTAAGCCACCTATCCATTCAGATTCACTGCCAGGTGTCTTACACAATATTTACTAAAACAAACCAGAGCAAGGCAAGGCAGTAATCAGATAAAGCTAAAAGAAAAGGTATTTAAAATAGCTTCAGTAAAAAACTCATGAATGAAAGAGTATGTAGGAAATAGTAGCTCACTAAGTAATACTATGAAATGTCTATCATAGGAATCAGAACTAACACCCATCCTTCATGGATAGTACTAGGTAATCCCTTCAGTTATGGAAGGATTAACCCAAGAATTCCTGCTAGGCGTACAGGAATTAATATTTGGTTTTAATTAAGGAGAGGGAGGTATACAAGGGCCTTCCCTCACACCTATTACTTGGTTTATGCAGGCACAGTGCTTGTCTTTACACCATAATCACCATAACTTCCTAGAACTTACTCAGACTTACAATATGCACTCAGTAAATAATTGTTGAATGAATCAGAAAAAAGTAAAAGAATATCAAAAGGGAATATTTGTGGGAGGTTATATCTAGACAGTTTGGAAAGCAAAGGCAAGACTCTAATTCAATAGGCTGTGGTGAAGAAATCAAAGGAATTAAGTAGGTCTACCTTACCAGAAATCAGTATTCTAACTAAACAAGAGTTTGACCTGACAGACTCTAAATAAGAGAGGACAGAAAAAATAAGTAACAGAAGCATCTGCAATAGTTAGAGGTTAATGCCTATGAAAATTTTTGGCAGAGGGCAAAGTATTCATGTTTTATCAAGATGGAATTTTACCAGTACAGTGTTAGTGAAAAAATGCCAACAAGTAAAGACTTTAAATGGCACAGATAATAATTCTAAATGCAGCAGCAAATAACAGCTGGAAAAATTCTACTGTGTCAGGCACTGGGAAAAAGGCTTTACACATATGGTACACTGGTTAAATGTAAGTGTGCAAATCAATTCCCACCTGCTTCGCCAAATGAACTAGATAAAGACATTCAGGCTCTCTTGTGTTTTCATGTCTGGTATCTTATCATCTGTTCTCTAGGCACAGTGTTGCAAAGATTCAGTGAGAAAGGTTGAAAGAGAGGGAAGGAAGTAAGGGAAAATCAGGTGAAAATTTACAGCTTTGATTTACATGAAGATAGGCGCAATTAATGCAGCCAGGTGAGCTGAGGAGATCTCTGATCTGGACCATAACACCCTAGGCTTGATTATCTTTGCATCATCAGTTACCTTGCACTTTGGTTCTTAGATTTTCCCATCTTAATGTCATTATTTTCAAAAATGTCATTAATTTCCTATATTTGTTTTCATGAGTATGTTCCACACTAAGCCATGAGTTTCTTGAAGATAAAGGGTATGTCTTAGAGCTTTTACCCTCTGTCCCAGGACCATGCTGGACACGCTTTAATTATGGGAAATTAATTGAATGAACAGTAGAAAGATACCACATTGAAGAAACTGATGTGAATGAAAATTTTAAGAACTTTTGATAATAGATGTGGAAGCATTCTCATAAAGAAGATGTGTATAAGTATTATATATATTTAACATATATATAGTATGTATATATATTTGCACAAACATAGCAGGTATATACACAAGCATATAATTTTTTATTAAGATTCTATAAAAATTACTTTCATTAAATTTAATTCATTACTATTTCTTACCTTACCATTTCTTTTTACTAGACAAGGAATATAAGACATCTGTGCCCTTTCTGTTTTCAAAGCATCAGAATTTTTTTTTCAGTACTGGTGATTAAACCCATGGCCTCTGCACTAAGTTACATCTGTCTCCTTTTTTAATTTTTTATTTTGAGGCAGGATCTCCTTTTGCACTATACCGATAATCTGAACTATCTTTTCAGGAACTGTGCATTGGTATTTACCTGTGCAACTTTGCACAATAATCTAAATCACTTAACTTTTCGTGAACTTAGAAATTCTGTCATGCAGCTCCCAGACAATTTGATTTCAATAGGTCACAATTCTCCCCTAAACTCCCAGTATCTTAGACTATGTTTTAAATCCTACAAATGCTACACATTGCTTCTATATGTTAGAATAGTTTTTCATATGTTGGGAGACATAATTTAGTATTAAGTTAAAAAAAAAAACAGATTCAATAAGGTAATTAGTGAATGAACCATCCAAGAATGAACTCCTTTTCTTGCTTGCCTCTTAGAATGCCTTTGAGGATACACAATTAGATTCTTTTATGAAAGTCACCTTTCCTTGAGATAGTCTCTCACTGGAAACATAACTGGTAAAGTTCAGGAGGATAAAAGAATACATGCTTAGGCTAAAAATGTGCTCTTGAACACTAATGCATGCAGAAAATCATATATCATTAGCCTGAAACTAACATAACTGCCCCAAAGCCAGAGGCTCTGTCTTTTACCTACGACTCAGCTTTATCACAAAACAGGTACAAACTAAAAAATTACCAGCAATTCCCAGCTAAATCCTCTCTAATGTAATTTCCATTTTAGTAATTATCAGGGCAGAGTTTTTCATTAAATAATACCTTGCTTGGGAACAGATCTATCCCCATGTTATATATGCTGAGTCCTCCAACTTATCTTTCACTGTACTGAATATCAGTGGAACAGAGCCAAGGCTTAATACATTCTTGTAAGTGTTCACTTTTTGAACTATACAGATACATTTACTATTTATGTCATCCAAATGATAGGAAAATGCTCAAGGGTAAAGGGCAACTGGGAAGTGGGAAAAGAGAAGGGAAAGAAGGAGAAATTTTGTATGTATGTATATACAGGATAGTTAACATAGCTGATCTACTGTCTTCTATCTCGTTGCTGAAAGAAACTTTTAATGAGTCCTTGATTGATCAATATTGCATGTCTCTATCTGTTTTCATGAGAAGCCACTTTGAAGATATCAATATGTAATACAACAAGCATTGTTAATTTCCTACCACTTTGTTTGTAACTCTGTATTGTCTGTATTGTTCTTTTGCTATTTTGTAAAAGGTTGTCTGTCTGTTAATGTTTTCCTCCTTTTATTTTTAAAATTAAAAAGAAAAACTATTTATGTCATCCAAGTGAACATCACATATACTATCATTAATCAACAGTTTCTTTTACCTGCTGGATAACCAATAAAAGTTTAATGCCTACCCTAATAATAAAATATTCATTAAGTACCAACCATATTTAAAATCAACAGAGTTCTCAAACAATATACTTTGATTCTATAGATTTTTACAGTATGTCCCTGACTTCAAAATACCTAGATATAATATTATTGTCACTGAGGAAAAACTAGCTACCAAAAAACAAAGCAGTATTAATATAATCTAATTAAACATAGCATTCTAAAAATTTTATGTGAAGTTATTATAAGAATATTTGTGTTGTATGATTTTTGGTGTCAGAATGGCAAAAACCAAACATCTTACAGGAAAATCCAGATTTATCATTGCTACATTTAACTATTAATTTCTATAAAAACCAAAGATAGCTATAAACTTGACCAACAAAAGTAAATCTGCCCTAGACATGGTGCTCTGAAGAAATACCTAAAAAGATTAGCCACTATCTATAGGAGAAAAATAAGAAAGTACCAAACACCTTTAAAATGGCAGAAAGTTGGTGTTTGAATTTCATCAAGATAAAAACAGGTCAATGTCAGAATGACCTTGAAGAAGGAAAAAACAAAATAATACAACAAGGCAGGGTAAAGTCAGTATCACAAAGTGATTGAAGAGATGGACGAGAACTTTCTTCTACAACATTAAGCTCATCAATATTATACTAAACTCTACAATACTTACCATTTTCCTGTGCCACAAGAGAATCTAGTAGGTTCACTGAATTCACTGAATCCTTTGTTAATCTATTTATATATGTTAAGCTCCTGACTGACATAAAACCTAACCAAAAAGAGAGAGAGAGTATTGTGAAAGACTAAGTGATGTATGCTTTGGGGTACAATAAATGTGCTTGGTAAGCAAAGAACCCACTTGCAAAGACTTGTTATTGTGATACATATATGCAAAAAGATTCAATACAATAAAATTTGCAATATAAATATAATTCTTTGCTGTATGTACATTTTCAATAATTATATTAAAATTCTCTTCCTATATTTCATTCAAGAATAAACATTTTGAACAAGTACAATCAAAGAGTATAACACATCAGTTATCATTAGTGTAGCCCTTGGACCTATACAAAAGAAAACACAGTTTATATTAGTTAGAATTCTTCAACAGCTTTTAATACATATGTTAAGAGAAGGAAATATTTCCAGGAAATATATCATTAAGAAAGAAGGTAAAAATGAATCACCTAGAGTAAATTATTACAATGTTTTAATTATATACTGTACATAAATACCAAATAAGTAAAGTGAAAGTCAGACAGAAAGCATTTTAAATGTTATACCTCCAAGTTCTTTTACATTCAAGATGGCATTCTGGAATGGCACTGCCTTTATACTAAAACCTAAAATTAGAAAACAAAAACATAGGAATTAGAACTTCAAATTTTACACAAGTTTTACTTTCCATATCTTATACTAGAAACACATACTTTCCAAAGTAGCTGATAATCTTATAATACTTTCTACAATTTTAAAGGCTTCATTGTGTATTATAGGAAAATATAAACCCAGCCCCTTTACTTCAATAATGCATTATTCTTTAATTAATATATAATATCACCACACAATTCTTAATCAGTTGTAAGAAAGACATTTGTAAGTATAGAGAAGCTTCAAAGAAAATATTAAGTCTACAGTCTTTTCATCTAATTCCTAAAGTTAATGCCTTACAATTTTTCTCACATATAACTCAGCAACTCTAGAGATCAAAGTACTTAAATTATAACCATTTTACATTAGAATTATACTGTATTCAAAGTAGTGTTTTCCTTTATGCACACAGTTAATAATAGACACATATTTTGCTTAAAGGTATAAATGTAATTGTCCATTTATGCATAGCAATCATTTTACAGTGCATCTACAAATGATTTATGGTAAAAATATACTCAGAGTACATAATCCTACAATGAACAATGTATTGGGACTTAACAATTATCATTCCTTTGAATATTTTATCACATACTTGCATTTCTCTTTCAAGTAAAGCCCTATTCTTTTAAGAGAATGGTAACAATAAAATAATTTTTAAAATAATAGTTTAAAATTTCCAGAAAAAATACTAGAATTATCTCAAGAAGAATTAAAATTCTTGAATAAATATGTGTATAAAAATTAATTGAGGAGCTGGGGATATAGCTCAGCGGCACAAGCACCTGCCTGCCAAGCACACGGTCCTGAGTTCAATTCCTAGTACCAAAAAAAAAAAACCCTGAAAATGTGTGTGAACCAAATATTTCCCCCCACACACCCATTAAATACACAGAAAAACTATAACACAAAGGCTTCTTTGGTAGCTTTACTCAGGAATTCCAATATAGTTTCCAAAAGTAGAAGAATATTTTGTAATACAAGAGCATTAATATTTCTTTTAAAAAAATTGTAAAAAAAAGATGGAAACTAATTATGAGTACATGATACCAGCGTTAAGGATTAACTTTACTAGACAGCTGAAAGAGGAAATATATTTTGAATGTTTAAAATAGGAAACTCATTACTTACATTAGAAGGAGTCATACTGAGTACACACTAAGCAAATATAGTCAAAGCCCCAGGACCTTGACAGGTTCTTTCTTTACAAAGTTATTATCAAATGATTAACTAATATAAAGTAAGACCCATTTCTAATCTTTCTAGGGTTCACTTTTCAGTTAGAGTAAGTTTTATCATAGGCCAAAACACAGGAAGACAAAAAAGTCACACTCTTGAGCCTATTGCGTTATCCATACCCGTAAGATTCTGTCGTATGTTTTTTAAAAGTCTTTCTAAACACATCTATTTTTACATAAGTTCTATTTGGGTAAACCATTGTCTTTAATGGAAATTTCTTTCTGTGAGAAAAGATGAGTAAAACTACCATTTTGATGAGAATTTTCCAGCTCCTTTAAAGAGCCACTATTTCCACTTCAAGTTTTAAGGATTATTTATTATGTATTATTACAAGATGAATGAAACTTAGTCCCTTTTCCAAGAAATTATCAATAAAGACGATGATACCCAAATACTTCTCATTCATTTGAAGTTATGATAGGTGCGTGGAAAGGTAAAAGGGTTCAAATAAAGTATGATACTGATAAAAACAATTCTTTTGCACAGTTTTGCAGTTTTGCTTTGCCTTTTTAATCCAGCCTACCTTTTGCACTCCTTAGCTACCTGTTGCCCCAGCACTTTCATAAAGTATTTGTTACCCTCCACATCAGGCAATATTATTATACAGTGACTGAAGAACTAACTTTGGAGTCAACCAAACTAGCCTTAAATTCTAGCTCTAGTTTTTATTAGCTCTGTCACTGTGGCCAACCTACTAGCCTTCGCTGCTTTCTCTTTTGTAAAACAAATGGTAGTATCTACTTCGTAACATTGCTACAAGGATGAGACAATATATGTCACCGTGTCTGCTGCACAGCAAGCACACAATATGTCTGCTAGCATTATATTTTGATCCATGATTACTGTTAACAACTCAATCACTAGGTATATCTATATATACTTTGTCTACCTGAATATTTTACAAAATCATAACAGATACTCTGAGTGCTCATTTATTAATCAAGTACCTCGTTGGAGAAGTAAAAGTTAAAACTGAATGAAAAGTACCATGTTGTTGGTGTGAGAGAGGTGTCAACAGTGGAAATGTGCTATGCAGAAAGTACAAGATCAATGCGCTCTCTAAGAATCTTCCAAAGTGTACCCTTCCTTCATGGTTTAAGGCAGATTGACACAGTCAGTGCAGCATTATAGCTAATGGCACACACGTCTCTGATCTTAGTAAAATAGCAGTAGGGAAAGAGAAGGCAGTCCCAGGTGACGTGTACTGTAGAAAAGCCTCTCCAGGTGTCTGGCCTCTGGGAAATTAAGAAAAGTCTGTGCCAATCATAATACTTTTGCTGGCATCAAAATTCCCCTGCAGGAGACTTGGAGGCTTGAAAGTATCTACCTACCTCAAATGGATGGTATATGGATTAAAAAGCAGTGATTGCAAAATACTGGAAATGCAAAGCCTTATGCAAATGCTATACATAGTTTATTAGTGGTAATGTTTGGCACAACTCAAGTATGGATTTCCCAGAGAAGGACACATCCCAACTTAAAAAGAAAGTTCTAGAGCACACCAGCAATGTTTAATCAGCTTTGACTCTTAAAAGCTAATAACATGCAGGTACTTAAGGAGATGTATTATCTTTCCAGAAAGGGCCACAAACTTATGCAAAATACAACTTTGGAAATTAACAGACAGGTTCTATTACTGTCACTATCTTTAAATCTATGTAAAGTAATAATAAATTGATTACAAAAATATGTTCAGACATTCACACTAAACAGAATAACCTAGCTATGTAATTTATAGGCATATAATTATATTTCTGCAGAATACCTATAAATGTTCTCTTCTTAAATAAAATACACATGGCTACATTAATACCACAAAGATATATATAGTCTTCCATTACTGCTATCTCTATATTACTTTACAGTAAAGCTACGATAATTAATAATGTTCAGAAGACCAAATATAGGTATCAGTCCAGAAAATAAAACAATGCACTACTCATAGAAGAGAATCAACATTTTACTATTTTAGTCATTTTAAGCATTTGCAAAGATAAAACACAACTAAAAATTTAAAGCAATACTTTCAGTTCATCAGAAGGGCAATCAAAAAGGGCAACTATCATATTTTGTTATTATTTTCCATTAGAATGGATGAGGTCAAGGGGTAAAGAATAAATGTTGCTTTGAGGAATAAAAGCATGGACTCTAAAGCAAGGATGAGTTTAAATTCTGGGTCTACTATTTATTATATATTTGATTTTGAGAAAGTTATTTTGCTATTGAAACTTTCTCTGGTATGCTTAATTAACTAGGTTGATTTTTCTGAACTGATGTTCTGCCAACACTCAGTACTTCTAAGTAATTTTCACAGTTTCAACTACACATCACTTTGTTTTTTGTCCATTCCCAACCAGACTGCAAGGATTACTAATGAAGAAATAGTATGCAAGGTATCCTGTATGCCAATGCCTGATATAATACAATTTCAACACTGTGCCAAAGATTCACACACTGTTTGCTAATTTACAATAATCCCAGTTAATATAAGTACTACTGTACTGTACTGTACTATACTGACTGTACTGACATAAAAAAGAAAGTGAAGCACAAAGGGGTTAAGTATCGTGCCAAAAGTACTAAAAGCTATATTCAAGGTTTTAACCCAGGTCTTGTGACCAGAGCTCTATACAGTACTTTCACAGCTCCTCTATGTATATACAAACTGGCAGATTCATCTATTTTGTCCAGTTATGAGCTTAAATGCTGGTAGGGCTGATTGGCCAATACACACGTCTCATAAACCCACTAATTTACTTTCTTTTTTGTTTACAAATCAACATGACAAACCCAAGTTAAGTGTTCTCAGGTCTACATTACACAGCTTTCTTTTTAATGGGCTAAAATAAAACCATCAGTTTAGGAAGTTCTTTATTAGAAGACATAATTAGAAATAATAGGAACCTGGGAAGGGAGGAAAAATGTCCAGCTGACTGAGCAATAGCAGTCTGATCATCTCTTGCTTTTTCAAATACTAAACATCCTGTTATGCTCCCCACTGGGATACAGTGTGTTGATGTGACAAGACATTGCCTAAAAATCCTAGTCACCAATACTTAGACTCAGCAGCCACATTTTTTGTCTTAGCCTTGAAATCCTCATCTGCAAAATGAGCGAACCAGATTAGCTCTTGGATGTCCCTTAAAATTAGGATTCCCTTATTTATATTAAACAAAAAGGAGGAAATTACAGTAACCATCAAGTTGATCCTTAGTGGTCTCCAGTATCTGGCGGAGGGCCTCAAGGGTAGGTCTCCCCAGGCTACATTCAAGCAATTTGATGGCAGAAGCCAAAGTTAAGCACTCATTTTTTCCTGGCCTATCTAAGCTACATTAGTAAGACTAAAACCTCCCCTAAGATTTAACGCCACAAATTTTAATAAATATATGACTGAGTAACTCTTTAGGGAAATAATTGTTTGCATAGCCTTTCAGTCTTTGTTTTGCAATCCTTAAATCCAATAAAACCTGTGATACAAGGAAGATGGATTTGAAATTTTTCATGCAGGGAAAGCATTCCTGGAATTGTAACAAAATTAGTTTTGGGAGGAAGGTTAGTCTATTTTTATTCATCATGTGGAACATTTGAATAGTTTACTTGGGCCTACATACTAAATCCTTCTTGCCCCCTCCTCCAAGTCTGCACACATACACATATTTCATGTGTGTTTCTGAGATTTCTGAGTCACCCTAAAACTTCTAAAGGGAAAGACTTTCCATAGATCTGGTAGTCT